CCCCAACTCCCTCCTTCTGCCTTCCTGCCTGGGGTGCTAGCCTGTGTTCTCCCGGCCTCCAGCGCCCTCCCCAAAGTCCAGAGGCCTCCCGGGCAGCAGATCCCAAAGCGTGCGTAAGTACCTGCCCCCCAGCCGCACCCCCACCCAGCTGCCAAGGGGATGCTGCTCCTGCTTCGGGCGTCTGTGTCAGCTCGTGCTTGGAGCCGGGGGTGGGAGGGGGTTCTTGGATGACAAATGCCTGGGCAGGGGGATTTTCCATCATCAAGACGGAAAGAAGGCTCCCCCTCCCCCCACCCCACCCCACCCCACCCCACCCCTCGCCACCTCACTGCCCAGCAAGGAGCCTGCAGCCCGACTCCGGCTGGGAAGCATCGCGGTGGAAACCCGTGGGAGCCCGGCCACCTACCCCGACGTCGTCACCTGCGCTGTCCCCGACGCCAGCCAGACCTTCTTAATTTCTCATCGGCCCTTCCTCTTCTCCCTGTCCTGCCTTAGGTCGGGCGTATTTATGATCAGAGCACAGTTGGAAAGACGTCGCTGCTGGCCGCTCTGAGCCTCAGTTTCCTTCTCCGTGTAAGATGCGGCAGTGGGACTCCAGGATCTCAAAGGTCCCTTCCAGCACGGGTAGACGACGGTTCTCACGTTTTTGTATTGCTGTAGGGTTTATAAAGGGTTTTCTCACCACGACTGTAATGCAAGTCTATGTGTGTCTGTACACATCCCACGTAGTGTGTGGGGGGGGAGGGGGGGTTGGGGGGAGGTTTCCCGGACCTAGGACTACATCAGCGGAGGGAGATCCTAGTATGGGAACTCCCTCCACCCATTCAAATTGGGAACCGATATGTAACTTCTTTGAGACAACGTGCTGGACGTGGAAGGGCTAGGTGACTTGCCCCAGGGTCATATGGTCAGTGGGTATCAGGGCCAGGGCTTACACTCCCGTCTTACTGACCCTGGGGTCTTTATCTTTTGTACCAAGCTGCCTCTCCTATGCAAATAGGATCTTCCTCATTTTACAGATGAATAAACCGAGGCTCAGAGGAGCAGAAATGACTTGCCCAGGGTCACACAGCTAGTACATGTAATAGCCAAGACCCAAACCTGTCTTCTGAGATCTGCCTGGTGAGACAGACTCCCTGACCAGAGCCAAAGGGACTGACCAGCTCTGCCACAGCTTTTGGCCTGGCCCGGCCCATCACTGGTCACCTGACTTAGCACAACTACCTCACTTCACTTTCCAGCTTCCATTTCTTCATCACCAGGCAATGCTTGATTCCCAGCCCACCTCCCATCTGTGAGGTGCCCACCAAGCCTGGGGCTCCCTCTGGGGGAGGGAGGATGTGGTGCCCACCCTCTGGGAACTGCAAGTCTAGGGGGAGGAGAGGACCCCAGATAACAGGCCCACAACAGTGCCAGAAAGGCCCAGACACGGTGCCGGGCACCAGAGAGGGAGGAGCTGGCCATCTCCCCATTGCCCTCGGCTCCTCTGGTCCTGAGCTCCCCTGTGGTCCAGAGCGCCTCCAAGTGACCAGTCTCTGGGGAGGGCCGAGCACCAAACCTGGCTGGGCCTCTGGGCCTCTGGGCCAAACTCCTGGCCCTGTAGGGGAAGAGGGAGGGCTCCCACAGACTGGAGACAGACTGCACCAGAATCCCGGCCTGTTCCTATCCCACCTTTGCCTCTTCAGCCTCCGACCCACAAGCCTCAGCTTGGCCTGGCATCCCCCTCACCTTCCCTCACTCGGGATGGGCCCAGGCCCAGACCAGACGGCTTGGGGCAGTGGTGTCCGGCTCCAGTAGATCCACGGGCCACTTGCTGTGCAGGAAGGATCCTGCCGACACCGACGAACGATCGTTCTCTTTGATTCGATTTCATTGACTTTGCTCAAGTGTTTCCCAGTTTCCCGTCATCACGAGTTGTGTGCTGTTTCCTTGTCTTCATCGCCCTCTCCTCTGGGGTCAGTTTTGACGGCGGCTCAAGCCCTTGGTGGCCATCTGCACACAGACAGCTGACTTGGAATAGGCCCCCGGCTGATAAAACGCCGACTGTTGGTGATGCTGCACGGGCTTACCCTGCGGGCGCCTGTCAATTCCCAGGTAAAAGAAGGGACACAGTCCGCCAAAGCATGAGGATCCTCAACCCACACTTCCATTTCTGAATCTCGACTCTATTTTCTTTCTTTTTTTTCCACGACTTTTTTTTTTTTTTGAGAGGGGGTGAGGCAATTGGGGTTAAGTGACTTGCCCAAGGTCACACAGCTAGTACGTGTCAAGTGTTTGGTCTGAGGCCGCATTTGAACTCAGGTCCTACTGACTTCAGGGCTGGTGCTCTATCCACTGCACCACCTAGCTGCCCCTTCGACTCTATTTTCCAGTCTGCTAGTCCAGGCCTTGGCCACCTCCACAATGAAGCTGGCCAACGTACGCTTTGCTTAGAGGAGACCCTCCGTTTCTTCACTGAGTTCTCTACCTCTTCATCCTTCGTGGAGGCATCGGCGCCTATGACGTGGCTCGACTCACGGCAGTCTCCTTGGATGTGCTCATCACAAGCTCCCAAGAATCCTGTGAGATGATGCTTGGGACCCCGCCTCTCTCAGATGCCCCTGGAGGTGAGCCACCCTCCCAGCCGGCAGCCATGCATCGCACAATATTGAGAATAGCTGCAGGGACGTGCCTCAGTTTCTTCTGCCACACATCAGCTCACTGGCTTCTCACATTCAGAGCATCGGCTGTTAGGGTCAGACGTTCTCAAAGCTGGGCTTCCTGGCCCACACCCTCTGCTGAGTGTTCTGCCCGCTGGCACCACAGTGAGTGCTGCCCAGGTGAGCATTCGACCTCGGTGGTGAGGGCCTCAGAATGGAAATAACACAACATGCATGTGCGTACACACAAAGCACCACGTCCGGCTCCCCTCTGCGTCCAGAGCCGGGACAGGCATATGTGTTCCACAGTGGGCCGGACCTTGCCCCTGCCCCGCCTTGTCCCTCACCCAGGTCTCGGCGGCTGCACGTGGCGGGTGGTCACTACAGCCCAAATGTCCATTTCTGTCCCTTTCTTCCTTCTCAGGCGCCCAGGCTGTTTCCACTTTTTGATTTCCACTTTAGGCTTCTCAGTTTTTCATTGATGAGACTAGATGCAATCTGCTCCTGCCACTAGATCTTTGCTTTGAGATTTCTGATTGCTTTAAGCGGCCTGCCCTTTGGTGCCCTTTGGTGCATAGGCGAGACTTCCCTGGCCTGGACAGCATTCCTCATCTTATATAGGGCAGGGCCAGCTCAGGACTGTCAGGGATGCCACCAAGTGAGCAGAAACAGAACAGATGTGCACACACCTAGTTTTTTCAGTTGGCAGGAGAGCCCTCCCCCCGCCCCCCGTGGGGGAAGGGAAGGCTGCCCTTGTGGCTGCATCAGATACAGCAGTTTTGTTTTTTATTTTTTAGGCAATTGGGGTTAAGTGACTTGCCCAGGGTCACGCAGCTAAGTGTGAAGTGTTTAGTCTGAAGCCAGATTTGAACTCAGATACTCCTGACTTCAGGGCCAGTGCTCTATCCACTGCGCCACCTAGCTGCCCCTAGCAATTTTCTTAAATTGTGGAGTGGGATGATGTATTTACAGGGCTGCTCACAGGTGGGCCGTTCCAACTTTGCACGACTCTAGGCCAACCTAACAGGCCCCTGTGGGGTCTTAATCAGCCACCTCAGTACAGGAGATGACAGCGCCCAGGAGTGGGCGCCATCTCGATTTGGCATCATTTCATGCATCACCACCACCGAAGAATCCCTTGCCCAGAGGCCAGCCTGCTGGTGATGAGCCTGTCTACATCCAGCTAGGCAGGTCCTTGGAAAGCGGGTCCAACCTGTCGCTGGGGCAAAGCTGGGTGTCTCTTCCTTGCGATGGGACCTGCCAAAGTGTTTAACCTCATTCATAAAGCCTTCAGGAACCAGAACGAGGTCTCAGAGCAGAACCACCTTTTCACCTCTATGAAATCTTTATGAGAACGGTCTATGTACACAGTAAAGTTCTCCTTGATGAAGGTGTAAGACGGGAATAGGCAGGCCTCTGAGAGTGCTTCTCTACAGCCAGCTGTATTTCCGTATTTCCACTATCTAAGAGGTACAGAGAATATAAGATTTTTTGGTGCTTTTTGTTGACTTTCACAAAGCTTTTGACTCAGCAGAACAAAATGATGCTTTCAAGGTTTTCCTCAAATATAGTCTGCTATATTTATGTTATATATGATACATACTAAGACACGAATGTTAAGATCATAGAAAATTCTATGACCAGTACAGACATGGGAGATATGTGAAGCCATATCAAGTGAGGCATGAAACAGAGAGATATCGGCTCACCATAAGCATTGGTGTTTCTCGTTGTCATGGAAAATGTCTATACAGCGTAAAGAGGAGCATTTCCTCCAAATGGTCTTTTTTTTTTTCTTTTTGGTGAGGCAATCAGGGTTAAGTGACTTGCTGAGGGTCATACAGTTCGTAAGTTCCAAATGGATTCTTTATAGGCATAGGGCACTGTTCTAATGACATGGAGCACCACAACACATATAATTTTCCCTGCCAAAACCATAGTCATTCAAAAATCTGGCTTAACCATTCACACTGAAAAATCCAAGTGGATGAAATATGCATGTTGCACATTTTGACAGCCCAGCATGTCTTGGACCAGCATGCAAACGAAAAATTAGCTTGGCCCAGAACTGCAGAGGAGAAAAATCATGGTATCCTAAATTTAGAGCCAGAGGAGAGCTTAAGGGAAGATCTAGTCCAATCTCCTCCATTTACAGATGAGGAAACAAAGGCCCAAATCTAACAGACTGCCCAGCGTTTGTCCGCAGCTAATAAGAATTGGAAATAGGATGGAGCTAGCCGACGTCTGAGAAATGGCGCCATGATTTCAAAGTTCCTCTGGGGTCTGCCAGAAGAACCTATCATTTTAACATCAATATTCTGCCCGTGATACCGTGGGAAGAAAAGACACAGAACACAAGAGTCACAGCTGAAGGTGATCAATCCAAAGGCAATGAAGGGACAGCTGCCCGGGGTGGGGGGTGTAAATAGGGAAGGATTGCGGAGGGGTGGCCCAGGGGCATCACGACGGAATCCCAGAGAGGCCTCCAGGACCCTGTGTGGACACTCTCTGGAGGACTGTGGAGTGCCCAAGAGGAGAAGGGTAGAGGATTGAGACCCACGCTGGCATGATTCCAGATTCTTCTCAAAGTATTACAGAAATGTGTTGAAGAGATGTGAAATTACAGGTGTGTGAGTGTGTGTATGTGAGTGTGTGTGTGTGCATGTGTGTAGGGGGTGGGGGGTAAGAAGAGATCTTTGCTGATGGGAGAGATCAGGGAAGGTTTCTCAGGGGAGATGGCTCCTAAGAAGAAGGCAGCCCCCAGCAGACAGAAGGGGCAGAGGGAACACTCCGGGAACAGAATCACAGAAAGTCAAGAATCCTTTCTACAACATGGGACAGGTAGACATCACCCGGTCTTTGCTTGGATACTTCTGGTGATGGGGAGTTTACCAACTCCTGCGGCAGCCCATTCCACTTTTGGGGACTCTGCCCCTGGGCTAGAGCAGTCCACCCCGTCCTCTTGCCGCAGCCCTTCAAACAGCCAGGGTGGCTAGAGTGCCCACTGAGCCTCCTCTGGGTCCTCCGGCTGACCCGCACACACCGTGGGCTTGAGACCCTTCATGTCCTGGTGGTCCTGCTCTGGACACCTGGGGAGGAGCGTGAGTGCAGACCAGAGGCCGGAGGAGTTCTCCCCACCTGGAGGAGGGCAGGAGTGACGGAGGAGACGACGTGGGAAGTCTGGGTGGGCAACGCCCAGGGAAGGGCGGCTTTTGGAAGGCAGGGAGCGACTTGAGTTTTGAGCAGAGGAGGGCAGATCTGTGAGTCAAGAAGAGGAATCCGGCTGCTCCTTGAGAACTGACTGGAAGCAGGAAAGAGAAAGCAGAGCAGGCCGGTGAGGGTCGTGACCCCGGGAGTAGCAGCCTCCTGGTCCGACAGAGCAGGCCCCAGACCCCAACACCCCCAACCCTTCCCAGCTGAGCGACCTTGGACGGAGCCCTTCAGCTTTGCGAGCCTTGATTTCCTTGTCTGTTAAAGGGGAGAATAATGCCCATAAGAGAAGCGGACAGAGGGCAGCAAGATCTAGGATGGAGTCCCGCTGCTGACGGATCCCGGACAAGTCACAAGTCTGAGGCCCTTAACTGCTGAAATGTTGCTGACTTATATCGATGAAATCACACTCCAGGTCAAAAAAGAAAGGACTTGGGATGCTCCTGGGGCTGGCCCAGCCACCCCTGGCATTTTGTAGATGGGGAAACTGAGGCCTGGGGAAGACAAGGGATTTTCCCAAGGCCATACCGCTAGTGATCATCAGAGGTGAAATTGAGCCCTGGGCCTTTGACGCCCGAGCCAGGGCGCTTTCTGCTATGCCCAGCTGGACCTCACAAGATGGCGGAAGCTATGCACTAGAGGAATGCTGAATGACTTCATGACTGTCAGGCCAACCCCACCGGCTGGCAGAGGCAGGAAGGCGGGACGACCATTTCTTGGATGCTTCTAGGCCAGGTGCGGCTTGGACTCGGGGCCCACGAGATGCCCCCTGCAGCACACTGGCCCCTCCACTCTTGTCACACTGGTGACCCTCCCTCTCAGCCTCCGCGGTGGCTCAGCAGCTCCCGCGGCGGCTCCCCCCTCCACCAACATGTTCCACCACATTCCTGTTTGCCGGGTCCCCTGATTTGTGAGGTGTGGGGTCAAGGGGCAAGCGCAGGCTGGATTCCCTGGGTCACTGTCAGGCCCCTCGGGGACAGCGCTGTGACAAACGGGGCTGTTTTCAGACCACGAGAAGCGGGGCCTGGGGTGAGGAAGAGCTGCCCGGTGGCGGCCTAGGGCCCCCTCCCCATCATCACCTTGGCCAGGCTACCTGGGCCTCAGTGTCCTTGTCTGGGCTTAGATCTACGGACCTCGACTTCACCAGGGAGCGAAGTCCACCCCCACTGCATCTGCCAAAGGCTGCTATGTTCCTCCAGTGAAGAGGACCGCCTGAAGACAGAGGCGGAATACCCCACAGCTGTCTTCAAGCATTTCCAGGATCAGCCTCTGCCCCAGGGGCTGCGGAGGCCACTGGGGCAAATGACCAGGTGAAAGGGGGCTCCTGGGCTCTGACCTGGTTCCAGGGGCTGAGGGGGCTCCCCCAGTCCCACTGCACACCCCCATGGCCAGAAGCTCCTGTCTCTCCATTCCATGGGAGCTGTAACCAAGGAACGTGTGGACACGTGTAGACCTGAAGGCATTAAGAGCTGGGGGCACCGACTGAAGGGAGGAAGAGAGGCTGGGAGGAAGGGGGGGGGAGTATCATTCTGCAGCTTCCTCCCCACTGGGGAGTCCTGCCAGGACTCAGGATTTCCCCTACTCGCTCACCTTCCCAAAGTCGTGGCCTGGGGGCTCCCCGGCTCCAGCCAAGCTGGAGTTCCTACAGACCAGGCTTCTGAGTGATGAACCGTGACCCCCACGCCTCCAGGGGAGCGTCTGGAACCCGCCGCAGGTGCAGATCCCAGGACCACCGAACTGAGAGGGGCAAGGGGCCACACAGAACCAGCTTGTCCTGTTTTACTTTTTTATTTCTAGAGGCTGAAGCGGGGCAGCAGCTGGGTGGCTCAGTGGTTGGAGCGCTGGGCCTGGAGTCAGGAAGACCGGTTCAAATCCAGCCTCCCCCGACAAGTCACTTTTCCCTGGTTGCCTCAGTTTCTTCATCTGTAAAATGAACTGCAGACCACTCAGCATCTCTGCCAAGGAGACCCCAAATGAGGTTGGGGGAGTTGGCCACACCTGAACTCCAAGGATGAGACAGAGAGCACTACTCAAGGTCCCCTACGTGAGGACTGTTCGACACCAGCCTCTCCTGCCACCAGGGGCTCCTGCTGGCTGCCTGCTCTCGGCCCCCTGGGGCTCCTCTGGCCACCAGCTCCTGGCCCTCTGGGGCTCCCCTGGGCCCCTTGCCGCAGTCCCAGCCCTCCAGGGGCTCCCACTGGCCGCTTGCTCTCCACCCTCCGGGGGGCTCCTCTGGGCCCCTTCCCGCAGTCCTGGCCTCAGAAGGCTCTGGCCAAGGGCCTAGTCACGGCAGGCCAGCGTGAGGCGGGGGCTGCTCGTCAGTACCTTGTGGTCTGAGGCGTGCGGGCCCTGAGGAAGGGGAAAGGAAAGGCCAGGAGCCAGCCACGTCCAGGCACAGCCTTTATTTATCCCCACAGTCCAGCAGCGACAGAGGGAGGTCCCTCCCACCACGTGTCCTTTCCCCAGCTCCATTTACCAGGAAAGCCAGGCGGGTGGGGGTCCAGCTGCCCCGGCACAGACAGCAGCAATCTCCATGGCCGTGCTCTGCCGCAGGGGGTGAGCCTCCCGGCCCCTCTCCGGTCTTGTCCCTGGATCTGATAATGGGGCGCCCCGCTGGGGAGGCCTGAGGAGGACCACACGGGGGCCTGGGGGCAGGCCTGACGTCCACCCTGGACCTTCCTTGCTGGACCCCCGCCAGAGGCTCAGCTACTGGGGCCCGTGGTGGGGCCCTGGCTGCCGTCCAAGGCCTCACTGGTCACTGCAGCCTGCCTCCTTCCCAGCTGCAGCGTGTAGGCCGAAGGCCCCAGCCTCATGATCTTTCCACTGCCCAGACACTCGTCACCCTTGTAGAACACAGCAAACTGTAAGAGCAAACGTTCTGTGAGTTGGCAGCCCCAGGAGAGACTGCCAGCCAGCAGTCTCTGGGCCCTGCATGCCAAATGCTGGTTACAGCATTCCAAGGACTTCGCTGCAGCGGATTGCGACCACCAAACGTGATCCAGTGAGCAGCACGTGCTAGGTTCTCGATCCCCAGGGGCCTGCCCTGCAGTCTGAGTGTCGGGGGCAGCAGACGGCCTACACTTCACTGGCAGGGCCTTCAAGGCCTCAGGGGCACTAGCTTGAGCAGTGGGGATGGTCCCCCTCCTGCTGGGGGACATGGGCTGGTCCCGTAGCAGCTGGAGGGTGCCTCCCCACCCTCTGACCCCTCGTGCACACAGTGCAGTAGTCAGATCAGGGGACAGGCCGAGTTCTGTCCCTATGCAGCAGCGGCTGCTGCGCCCACCTAGCTGGCCTCTAGATTCTGTCCCCCGGTGCATTGCCTCGCCCTGGGGCCCGGCTCAGCCTGCCCAATGCCCTGACTGTGAGCTAGGGATTGATCCCCCCGTCCTGGACCGGCCGAGGACCAGGCCTCCTCCTGATCCCTTCAGAGAGGCCGCACCCAATAAAGCCATCCCTCACATCCCAAGGATGCCCGAGACCTATCTCAGGCCAGCAGACCAGCAGGCGGGATCTCCATCACAACGTTTCCCAAAGACTTCCACAGTGTGACAAAAGATGACATGTGTCTCTGCCTGCTGGAGGCCGAGGACGGGAGGTGGAAAGGGCCCCTGTCACCCCTTCCCCTTTATACCCCCTGTCCGGAGCGGGGGAGGGCTGTGGCTGTGACCCGCCCCCGGCAGAGGAGGAGCCTTGGGCCCGAGCAGCCCCCAGCCAGCCAGCCTGCCAGCTTCCTCCCTCCATTAGCTTGAGCTTTGGAGGAGGGCTCAGCTTTCTGAAAAAGGAGTCCTTATCCTGGGACACTTCTCAGACCCCCACCCTGACATTCTCGGTCGCTGTTCTCGGCCCCTCCCAGCTCTGACTCTCGGAGTGGCCCTCGGGGACCTTCCTGGGAGCAGACTCTCATTCTCTAGGGAGGCCCAAGCTGACCAGCTGAGTCCCCAGAGCCTGCCCCTCTCCCTCCCATCAGCCCCTGTGGGTGTTTGGGAGCCCGTCCCCCAGAATGCTCCTGGGTCCCCGCGTGAGTTTCTCCCGGGAGCAGGAAGGGCCCCCTGGGGCCGGTGGAGGCTACTTTGATGCTGCCTCTTGGATGCTCCGTGTCTGGGTGACCAGGCCTGGAAGATGAGGCTGAGGCCAAAGCCAAGGGAGACACTGACCTGGCCCGTGGCGAGGGCCTTCATCGGCTTCACGGCGGTCACCCACACACTGCCATCCTGATTGAGCGTCAGCACGCAGGGCGCTATGGTGGAAAAGCGGGAGTCAGAGCCGCCTGGGCCCCCGGCCTGCGAACCGTCAGGGAGGCCAGAGGGCCCTGCAGGGCAGTGCCCGGGGTCAGCCGGATGGGCTGAGTGACCAGCGAGGCTGAGGAAGAGGGGACCCGGGCCTGCTGCTCCTGTCTCCCTGGGACGAAGGGGACGCTCGTGCCGAGCCTTACCTAGCGCCATCTGGTGCCGCCAGCGGACGCGACACTCCATCATCTTGTCGTGGACCAGCCGGGCCGGGGGCTCTTCAGTGATCCAGTGCACACGGCCCGTGCGCAGCAGGTCCCGGTAGAGGGCAGGGTGGTCGGGGCCAGGGGCCTGGGGAGGGCACAGACCAGGATGGGCCAAGAAGCAGCCCCTCTGGAGGGGCCGAGGCCGGGGTGCCCGGGGTCAGGGGAAGAGGCCGGGGCCTGCTCTGCCCCAGTGTCTCAGCCGACTGACCAACGGCCTGAGAGTAGAGGGAAGGGCCCGGGGGCGTGAAGCTCAGGCGGCCTCAGGTAGGAACCTTCACCCTCTGGGCCTCCCCTTGGGGGGCCCGTCCTACGTGTGCAATGCCCGGCCCCTGCCCTGCCCAGCGGCCAGATGTGTAGCCTCCTCGTGCCTCCCCAGGCCATTCCCAGAACAGCCCCAAAGGGCTCATGGGACGATCCAGGAACCCCATTTATGGGGCAGGAGGAAGCCCGCCCTGGGCCTCCCCCCTCCCCACACACATTCTGCCCACAAAACGACTCTGTGATCGTTGTTTGGGTGTTTCACCCAAAGGCCGGCTCGGTGAAGCGCTGGCGGCAGTGACGACAAACTCCCCGGAGCGGGCCCCACGGCCCTCGCACACACGTCACGCGTGCACACACGTGTGCGGCCCACGCACACTCACCACAAACACGTCCCCGCTGTTCAGGTCCTTCTCCACCACATACCAGGGATCTCTCAGGCCCCCGATCTTAGCGCCTTGGCCGAGGGTGAACAGGAAGCAGCCTGGGGAGAAGCGCGTGCTGTAAGCACAGGCTCCAGTCCTCACGGATGGGGATCACGGGCCTTCGCTCGCCCAGATTAATCAGAACGACGACTCTTACCTTGGTGCGTTCCCAAAACCTTGTGATCTTCTACTGAAACAAAGTTCCCCGGACGAGGCCGTAAATACTGTAAGACAGATGGAGTCTTTACGCGCGGGAAGCCCTCCGCGACCCCACAACCTTGGCGGGTGGGCCCTGCCAAAGGTGCCTCACCTGCAGCAGGAAACTTTCCAGGTGTCGTTTCCCGATGAAGCAGATGCCCATGCTCTGAAAGGGAAGCAAATGCATGTCCTTGGTCACGAGACGCCTCTGGCAGCCGGGGAGACGCCACAGCCCGCCGGCCTCCACAGTAACTGAGTCACGGGCCTCCTCCGGGGGCCAGGGCCCTTAGTGACCGTTACTCAAAGCTCCCCCCGCTTATTTCAGAGAGGAATTCCCCGAGGCCCAGAGGGAAGCAGCTTCCAGGTCCACACCTGGGTCCCCTCTACTTGGACAGGCCTCGGCTAAGCCTCACTGCCCCTCTCTGTCCCGAGGGTCTCAGCACGTCCCCCGGGGCAGGTCCCGCACCAGCAGCTTTCTTTCTTCCTCTGATCGTGGGCCGCCCTGGCCTTCCTTTCCACAAATGCTTGGTTGGCCTTTCAGGGTGCCAGGCAGCTCTTGGGGCTGCGCCTTGCGCAGGCGGGGGGACGAGGACAGCTGGGGAGGGGACCTGCTCCACTCCTCCCAGGCCTCCCCCTGCCCCGTCCCAGGAAGGGCCGATCTCTCCCCTGACCAGCTTCCCTGGCCTGCGGCTCCCCCAAGCTCAGGGTGGTCATTGGTGAAGGGGAAACCGAGGCCAGGGACTGACCTCTTTCCTCTGCAGCACGTGCTGAAGGCCGTTCTGGGCAGCGATTTTTTTCACAAAGCCCTTGGTGAGCCCCCCCAGAGGGAAGATGGTTCTGCGCAGGGCCTCCTGGGGGACCTGGCTGAGGAAGAAGGTCTGGTCTTTGACGGTGTCTGCTGCCTGGAGGAGCCTGACGGCTGCGAGGGACACAGAAGGGGCAGGGTTGGTCACGGCTGCCAGCTATATCGGCCTATGAGGGCGGGCCCCCTGGGAGCGAGGAGAGGGTCCCCCGCCTCAGGCGCCGCCCCGGCCCAGTGTCGTTATTGTAAAGGAAACCTCTCCTGCCTATTCTTTGGACAGGATGGAAGGCCGGCACTCAGGCTGTCCCAGGCACAGCAGGATTTGGGGACGATGGCGGGGTGGGGGTCCGTGACCCATGGGGAGGGTCTCCACAGATGCCCACAATCCTTCCCAAAGCCGGAGGCCCCAAGTCTCCATGTGGGGAGCAGTGGATGGTGGCTGGAGCCCCCGAGGGCGGCATGGCCTTGGCCGAAGGGCTGCCGTGGGCCGGATGAGATGGATGGAAATGACGCCCCCGCAAAATCCACTCGTAGCCCTGGCCAGGTGGGATGGCCCTCTGAGGCTGGGCTACCAAAACTCTCCTGGTGGCCAGTGACCAGGCCTGGGGCCTCAGACACCAAGCCGGAAGCAGGACCCCGTGAAGGGCCCCCAGGGGAGCCGGGGGGACCCACGTCCATCATTCCCAGCTGTGGCAGTCACGTGGGGGCCCGTGAAGGCTCTGAGCCAACGCCAGGAGAGGCCCGAGACGTGCCCGGACAGCGGCCAGCCTCAGCCCGACAAAGAGGGGCCCGAGCCGTCCGGACGAGGCTGAGGGCCAGCTTCCCGCCTACTCGGCATCTGCCCCGCACCCCAGATTCCCAACGGACTTCGAGAAGGCAGGATTTCTCCAAAGAGTCAGGCTGAACAGAATCCACAAAGGGGGCCGGGCACCCACCCCCTCCCCAAGTGTCCATGCCCAGTGCGCCTGGTCTTGGCCCCCTCAACACACATGCATACAAGGCAATGTGAACAGATATGTACACACATGCAGACGTGCACAGTGCACGCACCGGAGTTAGTGAGAGTGACTCATCCCATGTGGCCCTCCCACAGCTGACCCTACCTCCCACCCAAATGCAGGGGTTCCTGGGGGAAAGGGCCTTCTCGGTACTGAACTAAAAGTTGCCTCCCAATAATCACAGGTAGCTGGGGGGGGTTAGGGGAGCCCTGGGGGGCTGCTCTAGACCAGCTCAGACTGGAAGAGCCCCACGTGACCTCTGGAGGCAGCGCCAGGCCCCACGGCCCTTGGACTCCCTGGTCTTTCTTGCCCCTGGCCCCTCTGGCCTCAATCCCTCGCCAGGGCCCCAGGCCTCACTCACCGTTTCTCACTTCGAAGCGGTTCCTGAAGAGCCCCTGCGGCCTGGGGATGTACTTCTGCTCAAAGACTTCCTCGTCCTCCAGGGACGTCCTGGCGTAGTGTCCCGTGGCCATCGCGTCGGCTCCTGCCGTGGTCACACAGACACGCCAGGTGGCAGGCACCCAGGACCCTGAGCGGCCTGCCTCTGTGCGCCTCCCTTTCCTCCCGCCTCTGTCTGGCGTCAAACTCAGGAAAGAACCCCCCCATGGGGCCGGCCGGGCCTGAGGACCTCCCGGGGTGGGGGGGCATCACTGGCTCTAGCTGCTCCTTCGGCCCTGGGTCTGCCCCTGCCCACCTCACCTCAGTTCTGGGGCCTAGAACAGAACCGACCAACCACGAAGGGTGAGTGTTTAAATCTGTACACGTGTGTGCATACAAACACAGTGTCCACAGGCACGTGCTCACGCTCGCACACACGTGTGCCCGCCCGCGCCCTCGGGCACACACGGCCCCCCAGACTGACCCAGGTGGTCCACGGCATAGCGGAAGAAAGCCTTGAACTTGACGTGTTTGTTGCACAGAATGTCGGGGTTCGGGGTCCGCCCTTTCTCATACTCGTTCAGGAAGTCCCTGCAGCCGGTCAAGACAGAGAGCTCGGGTCATTCGGAGGCGGGGCCGGGGAAGGAATGGGCGTGGTCACTGTTTCTGCCCCGCCCCCCCAAGCCCAGGCTGGCCGGAGGTCCCCAGCAGCAGGGCCCCTGGGGCGTCTCCTCATGAGCTGTGGGCCCACCTGGTCCGCCCCTGCAGGCCTGCGTGGAGGAGGAGGCACACAGTAGGTGCTTCTGACGCCCTCCCTCAGGGAGCTGAGCCCCCAGCCGCCAGCTGGCCGCTGCAGCGCCAGGGGGTGAAGGGCAGGGCCGCAGAGCTCACCACTGGGGGGTCCGTGTCTCCACACCAGCCCCATCCTTTCCTGGCCCTGGGTGACCGCCTGTAGCCTCCCTCCCTCCCAACCCTCCAGCACCGACAGAGCGCCAGCTCTGTGCCAGGCGCCTGACAAGCGCTATCCCCTTGGACCTTCCCCACCCCCGGGGAGCCGGCGCTGCGGGGATCCCCATTTGACAGAGGAGGAAACTGAGGCAGCTGAGGTGGAAAGAGCTGCCCGGAAGCGCAGTCCCCACGCATGGAGATACTAACGGCCCCACTCCCTCGGACCGCGGGAAGGGCGCGTGGGCTGTCCGCTCCCTGCTCCCAGCCCCAGCCCCGGGGCCTCTCCTTAGCGCACTGGGCCTCCCGCACATTCGCCACCCAGCACACACGCACACGCACATTCACACAATATGCTCACACGCACACGTGCACACTCACACGAGCACACACACAGTGTGCACACACTTCCCTACACACACATGCACCCGCACAATCCACGCGCACCCGTGTGCACACCTCATGCACGCTCATACCTGCACGCGAACGCACAGCGCATGCATGCACATTCACACACCCACGGGTGGCCCGACGATACCGCATCTGACACCTCGCCCGAGCTCCGCTATGCGTGAGGCCCCGACCCGGCCAGGTGCCCAATGCAAGGTCGAAGGGAACCAGGTGCAGATGCCCCGTCTCCCCCGGGGCCTCGGGGCCACGAGCCAAGGGACGATGGGACCGCTGACCCGGGAGAACGGGAGGGAGATGCGGTGCGGATGGGCTTCCTGGAAGAGGCGGCCCTGCCGAGGTCTCTGGGCGGAATGCCGGCTTTGCGCTGCCTTGCGCCCTGTGCGACGCTCAACAGGGGACGGAACGTCTCTGGGACTCAGTTTCCTCGCCTGTAACAACGGGTCCCTCCCTGTCCAAGCTGCCAGTGGGGGGCCGCTGCGGGGGTCCGGGGGATGGTTGAGGGGGGCTGAGGCTGGCGTGCCCCGACCCCGGGGGCCCCACCACCCGCCCGGCTTACGTGAACACGTCGTGCCAGTACTCTTTGACGAAGGACACCTGGCGGAAGGGGATGTCCAGCAGGCGGCACACGCGGGCCGCGTCCTCGCAGTCTCTGTCCGCGGAGCACGCGCCGCGCTCGTCCAGCGAGTCCCAGTTTCTCATAAACACGCCCGTGACCTCGTAGCCTGAGAGGGAGCAAGGCAGGGTCAAG